CATCATGGTACATTCCAGAATTCTCGCTGCTGTTCTCAACTTGGAAGTCCCAGAGGACCTTGTCTTGAACAGATCAGCAGACAGTTTGGGAATGGAACCACCGAATACCGTCGTTTTCCTGTCAGAAATCGTGGCAGCCATTGAAGCTTCAGACCGTTCTTATACTTGCAAAACCTTGCCAACAAGGAAAAAAGAAGGAGAAGCCTTCGCTGTTGGCCGGAACCTTCATGAACATCTGCCAATGGTGATGCTTGTGCGAGAAGTCTCCGTTTCGGCAATAGACATGTGACATGTGGCTATCGTCTCATTGGTTTTCGGGTTGGAACAATGCCAGCTTCGGGAACGCCCCAAGGATGGACAGTGTTGTGGAGCGCGCAGTGAGCGCGTGGCAGTTGGGCCCGTTCCTTCTTGAAGGGGCAGGTCTTTGATGGTCTTTGCCGGTTTGCGCTAGAACCAAGACCAGCAGCGGAACTGCATGTCCATGCCACGATGCTCCAGAAAGCATCCATTTAGGGGTCAAGGTTACAGAGCTGCCGCCGGACGCTCTTAAACTAGGCCGCTAGGCCTGCTTTTTTGGGCCAATGGCACTAGTCCCATGTTTGGGAGCCCTTTTCACCAACAAGAAGCTACATCCTCAAACTGTCGCACCCATTGTCATGGAGCCTTTAACAGGGCAAAGCAGTTCTCATGGGCACTGCTCCCACATGGTCCGCAAAAGTTTGGGGAATTCTCATCGTTCAGGCTTCGGTCTTCCACAGATCGTTCATGAACATGTGGCTCAAAGTGTCCAAAGTTGGTCGCCTTTCCGATTTTCTTCTTTCAATGGACTCGACGTCGTTTGGGAGGCTTGGTTCAAGCCAACGGAGGAGAGAGGAGCTTCTTGGCCCGAATTGGGAGGTGGCTTTGCTATCACTTGGGTGTTCCACCTGTCTCTTTTGTGCATATTAATGGTTGTTTGCATACATACGTGCAACCTCGTTGGTTGCAGATGTTCTCGTGGCCTTTTACCCACATTGCGCCCGTTGAGGTCATGTGTAGGGCTGTATTGACTCAGCGTTTCAGCAGTGGTCCCATACCGGCCAACATATCTGAACCAGAAAAGCCACCCTATCCCTTTCCAATATGCCATTGTTCCAGGGAGCACGATTGTTTGGTCCGCTTTAATAAGGCCCATAAAGAAAACCCTGTTATAGGGACCCAAACACCTTCCTTGTTTGTGTTGTTGCAATTTAAGCAATATGTTCTATGTATATGTAATTATATTCTATATGTTTGTCTCTTTTTTCTTGCTTTCCTTGAGAGTGTCGCTGAGGCTTGGTTCCAGTCAACGGCGCCGAGATGACAGGCGCGACAACACGACCACAGGGAATGCCGGCAGGGAGGGCGCATGCGAGTTGACTCTCCTAGAGCAAATTCAGAAACAACAAAAATACCTAATAGCGATGGCCTTCAACCTAAGAGCGACGGCTTCCAACCTAGAGTCTAGACGAAACTCTGCTGCAGGAAAAAGCACAAATCGCCGAAAACCCAAAGATTAAAAGATGATGCGTTCCCTGCAAAATGCCATTGTGTTTGTGAGAGAATGCATAGGTTTCTGAGCAAGAGGTGCCTACTCATTTCCAATGGTTGTCCAATTGCGAGGGGCGTTGATGGGCTGCATCTGGCTTTGCTTTTGATGCCATCGGAGTTCCCCCAAACAAGCTCGCGTATCTCCTCCCCGCAATTGTCCACAGCGGGTCATAGTCATAGCGGCATCGCAGCGCAGGCCTTACCCCCGATTCTTGCCACCACTGCAACGCTTAATTGCACGCCATCCGCGCTTATTCACTGAAGCTCTCAAGGACAGGCATCCAAGCGTGGGTTGGTGATTGAAGGATATTGAAGGAACGTTTAGGGGTTTTAGGCTTCGTGATCACAAGCGCCCACTGAAAACTCGAGAGCAAGAAGACCAGATGAGAACCTCACGTGAGGTATAGTTAGGTGGTGTTCATAGTTTGTTTGCAGGATCTACAGATGGACCTTCCAGAGGGACCGAGGGACCTGCCTGAGATTCTAAGCAGGGCCTTCCATGGGATACTTCTTGAGTCCTTTACCTCAGGCCCCAAAATTCTAAAAACAAGGGCCAACGTGAGTGGTGCGAGATGCTCTTAGAACTAGCAAAAAATGCTGACGTTGTACGCACACAGGCTGTTTGCATGAAGTACGTTTCAAGGATTTCTCCTGCATTTTTGTCCAGATTCTGACGAAGACTTCCACAGGGAAGAACTGAGCCACTTGAGTCCGGTGTGCACCGGTGTGAAGGGCCACCTAGTGCCAGGAGCCATGCAGTCAGCTGGACTGGCCCGAATGGGCATCGAGCCAGGACTTTGCGGATGTGCCTCCGAGCAGAGCATAGAGCGGGGAGCGTGGTGGATGGATCCAGCAGAATTGCAGACGGACTTTGATATAGATGTTTGCAACACAAATGTCACAACTCTTGGTGAAACGCTAATGATTAAATAGGTCAGCTAACATAACGAAGGGTTTCTGGAAACAGCTCATGTTGTGCTCTATGCGGGACACCTTGGAGCAGATTTTCAGGATTGCAATTCCGGGCCCATTCCTGCTGAGCGATTTGCCCCAAGGCAAGAATGTCCCTTAGAGATCTGCCTCAAGTGTCCAAGCTGTATCTCCAGTGCCAAAAGAAAGTCCGAAAGGGAGATCTGATCGATGAACTTGACCCGCTTCACCAGTTCAGGATGATTCGCTGCAGTTTCGTTTCTCAATGTAGTGGACGAATCCACTACAAGTAGGTCATCAGTGGTTGGGTTCTGAATCGAAAGTATCAAAAGTAGATCGTCGAGCTTTTGTTCTTTCCCAAATTCTGGCCATCCACGCAACACTGCCCTCATTCTCCGGTATGCCTTTGGCGCTCCTTGTTGACGAACCATGGCTTTGTGCCCAGGTGCTTCTGCAACAATGTACAGGCTGGTAGTGGCTGACCTTTGGTTCGAGCATGTTCGAGCTATACTTGGTTTGCAGATGTTTGCAGTGTGTTTCTTATGTTTCTTTTTTCTCAGGCCTTTAGATGCTTCTTTTCCCCAGTGGTTTCAAGGGGGGCCGATCAGGTGTCTCCAGAAACTTGGAGTCATTCTTGTTGTCAATGTGTTCATATTTATGATTTTTTGTGGGTTCCATGGGGTCACTAGCTTCCGTATGGTTCCACGAACATGCTCTTCCCCCCTTTTCACGTTGTTCTTCTTTGGTGTCTGCGGAATTACCCGCTCAATCTGCGCAGATTTGGTGCAGAAGGAGCGTGAACACAAGGCCAGGGAGCATTGGAAGGAGTTGCTGACTAAGCTGCTTTGAGGACAAGTTGGGTTCAAAGTGAAAGAGTTTTGTGACATGAAGGGCCTGTGTTCACTTCTTCCTGTAGGTTTCATGAAGGGCCTGCGCTTTGCATGTTGGTTACTTTATGTTAATTTACACGGTGACACACATCTTCGGGGCACCAGGGCCCCGTTTAAAGGTTGCTATGGACGCAAAGGAACCGGACCTCGACGCCCCTCAAACGTTTCTGTAGAGATTCTCAAGTTGGTCGATTCACGATTTCGACATGTTGAAAGAGGTGTACGGTCTCCGGACGACATGTACACCTTGTACCAAATCTCTACATCAACATGTCTTCAGGAGGGCTTTGTGCCCTTTCATCGTATCCTTCTGAGATTGGCAGCTGAAGGGCTCGTCAACTGAGCTTGTTCAGATCGGCGTGATCAGCATACCATGATCATCGTTTCGCTGGCTTGCCAGCGGGGGAATTGCAGACAAAGACTCTGTGAAGATGACCCAATGGAAGTAGAAGAAGTGCCAAGATTCCACTTGGTCCATGTTGCGTCAAACTATGCAGATCACAATATCGGCACTGGCACGAGGCATGAGAACACATGGGCTTTGAGACTAGCATTCAAAGCCTAATAACGAAATGCTGCCTTGCTCAGTTGAAGAGTTTGCCGGGGGTCATGCCATGTGGGGCAAGAGACTTTAAGCCAGTGGATCCAGCGTCAAAGCCCTGACCTAACCGGAAGCTCCTCGAGCATGAGGAAGCCAGACCACAGCCACGCCAAAGTACATTAATTGGAGGATAGGTCCATAAAACAAACAGGGAAACAAATTAGAACAAAAGGTTAAATTAAAGTGTTTTATGTTTGTTTTATTTGCAAGGATCCATTGGAAGCGTCATGCATTTGGATCTATTGGAAGCCTGGCCGCCTACGCGGCCGGTGCCATTCTGTGTCTCTTTTTCGTTGAGAAACGGCCGATGGAGGTGGGCATCTAATTGCAGTTGCACGAGCCAAAGTACAGAACATCCATGGAAACCTGCAATCTCATATGGAATATGTCTCCGGCAGTGGAGAGGTTTCATGATATTCTGAAAGACGATGGTGGCTGAAAGATCTTTGAATCAGAAAGTGTTCGCTACGGTTGAAAGCCAGCATGGTCAGCTCTCTTGTGTCAACCAACAGAGGGGCGTCGCATCTACCTGATCGAAGGATATTACAAACACTCCGGTGGAGTCTTGTTGCTTACTAGATAGTACACTTGTGTGTTCACTTGCAGTGTGTTTTCACAATTTGCAAGATGGACGCGTAGCGAGCAAAAGTAATGCAACACCCGCAATCCTGCATGTTCTTTTGGTACGCAAGGCCATGCCGGTTGAATTCCCTGTGGCCAAACACAGCAGTTCAGCCCTGAACCCCTATGGATTTTGCAATTTTGTTTGCCACTAGTTGTTTATTTGTGTTGTTCTTGCCAGCGTTGTTGATGTGGAGCCCTCAGCATCAGTGGAAACAGGGGCAGCAGAAGACTTATTTGAGACACGAGAAACTTCAGAGGGTGACGGAAGACTAGCTTTCCACGATCCACCAAAGAAACACCAAAGAAAGAAGTGCAGCAATAAGATTTCATAAATGATTTCTGGTGAAACCTTTCCTTTGACTGGACCCATCACCGGTGCGTCCTAGGCCTCCACGAGATCTCGGAGCATTTGCCGCTGGGAGCCCCGGTGGAGAGGGCAAGCTTTCGTCGCCTTAATGGACGTAGCCTTTTAGATCCTTTTAGTATGGGCAATTGAAGAGGCTCAAGTTAGAATTTGTCTTTCTCAGTTGGTGCTTGGGCCTGAAGGCATGCAATGGGACACACACCTTTGGCTGGCCCCAGTCGTGAAGAATGATGGGAAATCGAGTGTACCGAGTGTACTGTGATATGCCCTTCTAGAGCGAGAGGTTTCAGCATTGTCGGCAGGGAGTTGAGTTTAGCTGCTCTCCTGCATGGAAGCGAGCAAAGCTAGGTACCTTGCAACACTGCATACACAGCTTTGCATAGCTGACGCGAATGATTGATGAATTCTAAGATAGAGCATCCACCCTCAGCAAGTTGTGTTGATGTGCCGCTGCAATTGACCTTTGGCGGGATCTTCGGCATGTTAGCCTTGAAACCGTCCTCTTAAAGGAATCACTTAGTATAGTTACGCTGAGAAGGTCATGCTTTTTGCAAAGGCGCCATCCTGCACCTCTAGAGTCAAATCACAAATATGCAATGATTCTAAAGACCACTGGAACAGCCGCTGACATGGAGCTTGCAAGTGACCGAACGCCGAAAAAATGCGACAAGCGCCATGAAGATTGCCATTGTTGGTGCTGGAATCGGTGGCTGTAGCACGGCACGCTTTTGTCGGGAGGAATTTCCAGAGGCAGAAACTTGGAGTGTTTTCAATTTTAGTGTCGCAAAATGATATGCCCAATACACCACTGGTAAAGCTGGGCATGGACTAAATTGGCTAGCATGGCGGAGTAAAGCGAGCAAGTGTTCGATCAAACTCAAAGGGATGGAGAAAAGCCCGTCCTAAACCTGTTGCAATTCATTTCTGTCTACTAAGGGACCACTAAGTATCGGTGGCTGGACAAAGCATCGACTTCTGGACATTCATTGACCAACCTATTTTTTGGCTTTTACCTGGCATGAAGTTCTTGCCGACTCAATTAGATTCAATAGAGATTACCTCTTTTTTCACAGAACACAGGTGGAAGGGTTTTTCTGCTGATTCCATCGGATTCCGGCCTTGCAAGGACATCCATGTTTTCGAGAGGAGTGATCAGTTGGGAGGCCGAGCACGTCTCTTCAACGACGCAGGAGAGTCCTACGAAGCTGGTGCTTCAATCATCCATGACAAAAATCAGCCTTTCGCACATGCTTTGAGCTAGGTTCCTCAATGACGCATGTTCTTGGTTTGAGCCTATGCATTCGCTTTGGAGGGAGAGAGAGGGTGGCCCCGAAATGGAACCACTAAGTAAGATGTCCAAATCAAACTGAGGAACCTAGCCTAATCACATTTTGCTGTTTTCTTACTGCGCTTTATGCATTGCTTGTAGGAGCTGCCACGCAAAGCGCCGCATTATAGGAGGTATGCAGGTCGCGTTGTTTGTTTCTCCTTCACCTATAGCCGCAAATGTTGAAGCACAGTCATTCTTGTTCTCTCTCAAGACTCCAGAAAGCCATTACTTGAGGTACATGTCAGATTTCGCAACTGAGTTTCAACTGGACAAGCTCAAGCCAGCTTTGACTCTGACCGGTAGAATCCAAGAGCCCTTTTGTTTTTGCCGCCTTGTTGCCGGCAGTCCTCCCTGTTGGAAATTTGCCCCCCAAAGTAAGTGATTGCTTTTTATGTTCCTATCATTCGCATAGCCGCATAGCCATTCTTGCTGGTGTAGCCACCTGAGGACTCGTCTCACACTGCATGATGGAAAGAAAGCTGTGTTCGAGGGAAGCAGTCACAAGCCTTTGGCGCTGGCCCAATTGCTTTGGAGAGTCTCGACGGTCCAAAGGTGGCAAATTGGGTAGAATGCTTTCTTGATTTTCTTTAGACATTATTACCTGTTGCTTCCCTTTTTTTTCGATTATGTGTCTTTCCATGACGGTCCAAAGGTACAGTTTTTTGGACTCAGCGGCACTGACCACTTTGACCACCCCCAAAATTGAAAGGCAAAACTTGTTGCTTTGTGAGATGAATTCAGCTTAGCAGATGATATCTTTATATAAACGGCGGATTGGTTTGAGTGGATTACTGAAAGTAATGACACTCACTCATGAAGTACAAGAGAGACGGGTATACCTTGGAGCCCCAGGTCATTTACCCTTTGACCATAATTACGGCGATAGAAGAGTCTTGTGAGTGGTCCAGAACTAGCTCTTTGACCCATTGAAGCAGCCTCCTGTGGTTTTAGATGCAGTCCCTCAAACGTTCCAGTTCAACTGACAAACCACAACCACCTGCTCGAAAGACGCGCAATCCTTGCTCAGGATATGGTCTTGGCCCACTGCGATTGAACCATTGGGTGGAAGGCTTTCTCAGGACAAGAGTGGAGAACTGCTGTGCATAGAGGAAATGAGAACAATACCCAGTGCTGGGTCTCCCATCAAACTTTGTTCCAATAAGTTTGGAGCGCTGACGCCATTTTGGCGCAGGCTGATTGACATCAAACATAGTTTGTACTCCTCGAGGTTTGCCAAGGCGACAAGTCCCGACAAATATGTCGCAAGATGTCAGAATTATGTCGAAATAGACAGTCTCGCAGGTCGAGGCGTGACCGGAGGGTCACAAGGGTCATGATCTACACAAGAAGCTGTGCAATAAACATGTCCGTCTGCTTCGGGCAACTGTTTCATGAAGAAAGATAGTATGGAGCCTGTGTGAACTGTCCACCGTATCAAGGCTTCATTTCAGGTTTATCAACCTGTCGCATGCTTGCTTTAGTTTAATCCAACTGATTTCTCAGAGCAATTTCCTGTTTGGTTCAAATACTTTGTGAAGCCCCTTGTGGCAGTGTGGTTTCCCACTACTTGTAAACCTTATCAATCTGCGGTTGTCAACCATGAGGGGACGGCACCCAACGTTTCATTACAAATCCATGTGTTTCATGTTGTTTCATTTTGTTGGCCGCCGCTGGCCTGTGTCTTTGCAGGAGCTTTCAAGAGATCTATCAGCTGCAGAAGGCTTCTGAGTCCTTCACTCTGCCCTCGCGGCTACTGGCGGCACTGGACCCGGCCTTTGCGTCCATGCTCTCGACAAGACTGCGGGATGCGATGCTGGAGAAAGGCTTTAGTGGTAAGATGTTGGAGGAGTTGGTTCAGGGTGACTTGGTCACGAAAGAGTTCTCTGAGACAGCGAAATGGGGAGACCCATGAATGTACTTCTTCAAGATTCTGTCCAGCTGTTTGCATAGCGAGATGCATAGGCTTTTCATTGTTTTTTTGTGTCCCTTGGTTGCAGAGTGGGAAGGGAGATTTTCCATATGCTTGGCATTGATCTGTCGAAAGTAGGATTCTCTGTACAGAAGCTCCGCGGAAAAAAGTTGATTTGCATGTTGAAGACTTATAACTCTTTGCGGATGCAAACCTGAACAGGATGTATCCGAAGCCGTTGATCCTCATGAACTGTCGGTGGTGCCGTAACCCGTAACCCTTCACCACATGAACAAATCAAAGCAACGTCTTGAGGAATGGTGAGGATCAACTATGGCCAAGGGCTTGATGTCGCTTTGATCGGCACTTGTTACTAGTAGCGATGCACTTGTTACTAGTAGCTTCTTTTTACTATGGCAAAGCAAAGCCAGTCGAAAGTTCTTGAGAGAAGACTGATTCGTCGTAGCCTGGGTATAAGCTTGAGGGTGATGACAGATTGGTTGGTGAGAAATCAGGTCTTTGTTGTTGTCCAATAATTTTCGGGCTTTCAGACAATCCGCCACCAACTCGAGTAGTCTGTAGGGTCTGTACGTGGACCCAGAATGCATGGTTTGCTAACAGAAAACAAAGTGGATATGTTTATTTCTCTCGTCCTGTTCTTTGTTGTTTCTTTAGACCTTTAGACTAACTTTAGACCTATCGTTTGTCTTTTTCTTTTTCTCCCTTTCCTTCCATTTGAAAGAAATGCGGTCTACATCCATAGCTGAACATGCTGGGATCCTTCACCAAGCCGCCTTGGCTTCCATTTCGCGCGACGCACCAGGTCGGAGCCTTTGTGGGTGCTGTGGCTTTGTGCGGCTTTGTAGGAGCGACGAGTGGGGACCTGCCTGGGGGATCCATGAGCACTCCAACCTAATTGCAACGGCCTCCAACCTAAGAGCGACGGCCTCCAACCTACTAGCAACGGCCTCCAACCTACTAGCGATGGCCTCTAACCGAATAATTAGCAATG